GGGACAGCGGGCGTCGGGCACTGGCGCCGGCGACCGCGATCCCCTGCCCCCCGGCTGGGAGATCAAGATCGACCCGCAGACGGGCTGGCCCTTCTTCGTGGACCACAACAGCCGCACCACGACGTGGAACGACCCTCGCGTGCCCCCCGAGGGCCCTAAGGTGAGCCAGACGCGCTGCGCGGGCGGCCCCACCTGGACGGCCAGCGGCCGGGAGCAGGCCCAGGCCTGGGGGCGGCTGGACTGGGCCGGGCAAGGGGACTCGAGACGCCCAGGCCCCGGAGGTCGGTGAAGGCCACCCGGGACGCACGGACTTCCGGGCGGACTCTGGCTCCTGCACCTTCTCCCCCTTCACACGGGGTTGGCCCGCCGCTCCCCGAACGCGTCCTGCGTCCGGACCAGTCCCCTCCCCGGACTCGCCCTTGAGCGGCCTGGGGCGAAGGCGGCCCCCGGACACGGTGGCCTGGGAAGTGCTTACGCAGTCACCCGTCCACGAACTTGGCTCGAAGGACCGAGGGCCGAGTTGGCAGAAATTGGCCCCGCGCTCCCGGCCTCCCCGAGGGGTGGCCGGCCTGGGCAGCCAGGGAGGCCGGAGCCAGGCCCTGCCGCGGCCTCCGCAGCCCACCTGGCCTGCGTCGTGAGACCCTCGGTTCACCCAGCTGCTTGCACTTAAACAGATGGGAGGGGACCTTTCGCACACATACATGGGTGGTGGTCTCTTGGGAACTTTCCGTCTTCACGTTCTGCGACTTGGTTGAGGGGTATCTTGACTTCACTCTCGGTCAGGCATGGAGTGACTCAGGAGGCCGAGTCTGTCAGTCATTCTGTGTTGGAAATTAAAGTTGCATTTTTGTTTGAAATACTTTAGGTAGGTATGTATTCTAGTATGACTCGTTGAAAAACAAAGTAATCTTTTCCCAGGCAGTTTCTAAATTGGAGATCAGAGTATGTCTTTCATAATAGGCCATTGCCTTCTGACATTGCCTTACACTGGAGGGAAGAATGATCGTGTGTGTGTGTGTGTGTGTGTGTGTGGGTGTGTGTGTTTAATGATATATTTCCCCCTCTCTGTTGTGGTTTTAAAATACTTAGGATCTTTATCAAATACACAAGAGTAGTGATACTCTTGTGAATTCAACAGCAGTATGCAGTATGTACATATGTACAAAATTTGAAATTTAAAATATAAAATTTGAAAACATAAATTTGGGATGAGCCTGTTAACTTGAAAAATGATAATTAGTTGTCCTACTTTTGCAATTTTCTCTAAATCTGAGCTTTGCAAAATAAAAATAATTTTGACAAAACTGGTGCCCAACAGTGAGACATTGTACATTCAGAAGTTTACATTTACAACAAGTTAATTGTATATTTTTTCTGAAAATTAGTATATGAAGCCATAATTAACCAGGATGGGCATAATTATATCTATCTTTTTGTGTGTCTACTCAACTCATTATTGGTGAATCTTGGGCTCATTTCAAACCTTCCCTCTTACTGCATGCAAACTGCATGCATGTAGATGTTCTTCAGTGTGGTACAAAACTTACTTTGAGACTTTCTTGTAGACACAGAAACTGTCAGAATCTGCTGGCTTTCTTTGTTGTGAGTGAAGATCAAGTTCGAACATATACATTGCAAGCAGTTTTTTTTTTTTTTTGAGAGATTTTCACTGTAGGGCGCGTGCACTCGCCAGACAGACAGAGAGAGACATAGAGACAGAAAGCGAGAAATCACCCCCCAGGGGGGATGGTCATGCCGCAATCCCTTCTCCTCTATTCTCCTCCATTCTCCTCTCGGGATCCTGGGCACGCACGCACACGCGCCCAGTGTGAGTTTTAAGCCACCGGGTCCGAGACACGAACCGCGGTCGACTACGTGGGAATCCAGCGACATAGCCATTACGCTAACTGCTGGTTCCTGCAAGCAGTTTGTTTTTAACTTGAAACTCACCTAGCAAGTTGGATCTTTGCTACCCACCCTGGTGGATGGGGTTAGTCTGTGGTTTCACAAACCCTCTTGAGGAGAAAAACAAAACAAAACCCCAAACAGGTTAAGTTACTATATTGTTTTCAACAAGTAGAAAATACAAACAACTAAATCAGAAGTATGAGGATGGAAAAGCTCATCTGAAAATTTAACAGAATTTCATAATTGAATGGTCCTTAAAAATTTTTCAGTTCAGTCTCTTAATTTTACCGATAAACCCAGAGTTCAACAGTGTTTCTTGTCATCCAGACAGTACCTATAGTAAAGAGAGCTGTATGGAAAAATATTAGTAAGAAGCACGATATTTGCTCAGAAGTTAGGAGTGGCTTGAATTTTTATGACTTTGAAGTGTGCAGACTGGAAAACTTGATTATTTTATGTCTTGCCTCTCACAACAGTTTATTGGATCACTGACCTCTATGCTATAGTTCCTTGGATTTTGGTGATTGGATGTAAGCAACTCAAGAAGAGAATTCTCTTTACCGAGCAACTTGAAATTTATCCACCTGGCACCAAAACATCAAGGAAATAACTAACCTTCAGCCTGTGAGCTGTTTGGGCTCTGTTGCTTTCAAACCCTGTGACATGTGCAGACTTTCTGGTTGACTAATTCAATTTCACTTACATGAATTACACCTTAACCCAGACTAACTACAATGGAAAATCCTTCAATGTTGTTTTATATTAGCAATTGGTGGTTTCTTAACACAATGAGAAAAGAGCCTGGTTGTAAAACAAAGGGTAACATTGGAGGAACTGAGTTGTAACAGGTCTCTCTGAGCATCCTCAGCTTCAAGAGGAAATGCTGTCAGTCAGTAAAGAACTCCACTGAGCATGGAAACAAGAGGGAGCTCTATTTTGGGGGAGCACAGAGCTTCAGAATGTTTACAGTCTAACCATATTGTAGAGAAACAGTTTTCATGGAAGAAGCTAGACATTAGAAGTTTTATATTTTCTTTTATCTTATACTCTGTCACCTCAAAGTTGATCTTCTGAATTGCTCTGAAGTAGGTAAGAAGTCTTATTCCCATTTTTATAGGGGGACAAGTGAAAGCAAGTATCTTGCCATCATTACAGGGGCAGAATAGCTAGAGGCAAAGACACTGGGCTTTAACCACCATTACCTAAGCAGCTGGGCCTCCCTACCTGCAGTCTTTCTGGATTTCAACTTTTTGTACACTCGAGCTTTCCACTAATCTCCTGGCAAGTTATTACCAGTCCAGGCCCCTTCCCTGGCAGAGAGGTTGGCACGCACTCTGGAGTCGGGAGATGCGCAGTTCCGGTGCAGTCGCTCCTCCAGGCCCTCCTCCCTGAATAAACAGAGGCCAGACACTGGAGTGCGGCTCCCTCACAGAGCTTCCTGGAGGACAGGGAAACTGCCTCCCCCTGAAGCAAGGCTGTTCTAGCTCTTCGTGTCTTGGGGGTCACCAGCCTGACAGTCGCATTTTAAGAACAGAGGTTGTAGTTGCATCATACCCCCCACTACCACCTGTTCCCATGTTGAAACTGAATTGCTCAGGGTGGGGCCCAGAAATCTTTTAAGTCCTAAAGGCCCTTCTACTGATTTCTATTCTGCCAGACTAGCCTTGGGAGACACAGATGGCCTGTGAGCCTGGTTTGTAGGGGGATTTGTGACTTGGTATACTCCTGCATAGGCCCTGGAATCTCTCAAGTGGTGCCTGCTTAACATCTGACCTGCAGAGCCCTTGCCTCAGCCTCTATTTCCTCCTTGGGAAAACATTCTTGTGCCTGGAGGTGTGACTTCTGGGTGGCCTGAGGAGAGTGGAGACAGCACCACACAGTCCGGTGGGGGGACCGTGAGAATAGGGAGAAGGTCAGACAGTTCTGAGGCTACCCCAGCAAGAAGCGAGCCAGCCCCTTTCCTTCCTGCCTTGTTTCTATAATAATTTGACAGATTATACTAAGGCACTGTGAGAGAGAAGTCGAAACATCTTTCAGAGAAAATTGGAAATGTTCTGAGTTATCCTTGAAGTAGACCCATTTATTCTGCTTCAAGTTCCGCAGAGCCTCCTGAATTCTATTTAAGATGAGATCATGTTGCTCTTTCCAGATCGATAGCAAGCTGTCCGTGCCTCTTAGCAGAATCAGAGCACAATCGGGAAATGAGTAGCCATTCTTTCCTTCATATTTCCTGCAAGTTACCGTTATGGCTGAGCAGGTTCCTTTGCAATTGGATGAACGGTGATTTGTTTGGGGGCGGGGGAGAGGGGCTATGAAGACTATGGCCAGATGCCACCGGTCTCCAGCTCATCCTAAACCTCTGTCTCCCCTCTATAAAGAACTGCTGTGTTTGGCTCACACGGGAAACTGACAGCACCTCTGAGGACATAACTGATCCCCTGTATTGTAGAGCAGATTTGTCCTTTCTAAGAGTAGAGTCTGGACACAGGAATGGTGGTGACGTTTGACGTTAGCCAGGGGAGAAGGCTTAGCTGTTTGATGCTATCAGGGCTGGTTGTGAGTCAGAAAGCTCCATACCACCCATGAGGCCTGATTAGCGTTGTCCTCATTCCTGGACCAGTACATGGTTGCCTTATATGAACTACTCGACATGTTTATTACCCTTTATTGACATTTTAAAATGATGTTCTGGTGTTTATCATCCGAAATACGAAACTACACATAATCCAAACATATTCTCTGTTTTAACGTTGCTCTTAAATATATTTAAGAGCTCTTACATAGACAAACAGGATGCTAAAGACAAAGACCTTGCTTATTAGGAACCTGTGAGGCCCTTGTACTGATGAGCTCCCATGAATCCTCTGTGACACTTGACTGTGATTCTTCAGCCCCTCCCTGGCTCCCCCATTGTTGTGAGGACACCCCATCTGTCTCTGCCTCAGACCTTCCACTCACAGTGGACTTTTGAGTCTAGGCTGCAAATCCCCTTTGTTTTGCAGATGCAGGAGCTGATGGCTCCCTCTTTTAGCACTTGTGATACTATGCAAGATATCCAGTGTTATTAAGTCCTCACATACTTCTACGCAGATATATTTGGGGCTTCAGCAGCTTTTCAGGAAGCCATGCAGTTTGTAAAAGCTTAATCAGAAATCATTTCTTCAGGAATGAGTGAATGTAGTAGATTTTTGTCTGTCAACATATTTATATGTATGTTGCAGATAGGAGTGAGTGCTTCTGCAAACTATATCT